TCTTTTTATTTTTTTTTGCAGTCACATAAGTTAGCACAACTAACCTATTTATTTATTGTTGAAATATATTATAGATTTTTAAATAACATTTTATACATAAAAAAAAATTAAATACTTGAAAGCTAAATATTAATGTGTAATTTGCTTTAGCATCGACTCCAAATTCCATCAAAATAATTTTTAAAACATCAATAATTAAATTTTATAATGTATTTACGATTTGCTTTGTTTTACAACTCTATCAAATACATTATAATTGTTTTAGCATATGAACAAATTAATACCAAACACATTTTTATTGTTCTAGGATAGAAACAAAAATTTGGTAAGAAACAACAATATTAAGCAAAAAATAAATAAAACACAATTAAAAAATAAGCAAAAACAAAAGTAAAATAAATGTAAGTACGTATTTTCAGGAAATTTTCTTATTAAATTATTTATTTTTCAGCGTAGGTCTTTAAAATATAAGTTTTAATGTAACTTAATATATACACTTTTTTAATGCATATGAATATGGATATCCAAACCTATTATTAGGATTCGGGTATCTGAACCACGAAATATTTGCTGCTAATATTAGCAACACATTTTAATAAAAATAAAATATAGATTCGATCGATGAATTGGTCTCTAATATTACGAAAGAAGAATTACTCATAAACAAACTGGAATCACAACGCTACAGAGGATTTCCACAAGCATCTTCCTCACAATTGTTTCAATGGTAATAGTTGCAATTTATAGTCAATGTTACATATGTTTCTTTCTTTTTTTCTAATGTATTTTTCGTTTTAGTAACAAAATATATATTTAAATAATTATTTTCAAATATTAACTCACACCAAAAGCTCTCTGGTTAGTTTGCACACATGCTCTGTTTCTAAATTGTTAGAAAACAAATTTCTTTCACTTCTCAAAACTAAGATGCATTTCTTGTAAACAAGTTTTGTTTTGAGTAATAATTTTTCATTCAATTTAAAAAAAAAAAAAAATCGAAAACATGACCGTGTTTAGTGAAGAGTATTTCGTAGAAAACCTAGGTAACAAGTAAAAAATCTCTCCTTTATATTTTTGGAAAGAAGAGTATTTATATAATTTTACCAGTCAGGGTTTGAACACTAGATCACGCTTCACAGCCCTAATTCGTAGCCACAGATTCCTAACCCTAATTTACCTTTGATTTGATTTTCTCTCAAATCTCTTTATTATTCTCCGGTCGAAACCATGTCATATTATCCCGTCGAAACTACCTTCACCGGTAAAGA